ACGGCGGCGGAGAGGCGGATCTCGACGACAGAGGCGTGGTTGGGGAGTTGTAAGACGTGGGGCCACGCAGAAACCCGGGACCCGTCGTAGCTTCGTCGTCGTCGTCCTCCTGGTTGGAGTTGACGTTGAAGAAAGAAGGGCGGTTGGTGGCGTTGTTGCTCGAGAATGTCGGCGTGGTGTCGGAGTCCTCTCCTCCTCCTTCCCGGGCATGGGGGCTCGCTGTCGGCTGTATTTATTACCACGGGCGGTGATTGCGATTGGTCGGGGTGCCGTGCGTCGCCGGAGGAAAAACGGGAGAAACAAGAGAGAGAGGGGACGGGGAACGAGAATGAATCAGGTTTGAACGGTGTGCTGACAGCTTTGGAGCCGTCAAATTCCGACGATTTGTGCATATGGTGAACAGCTTGTAGCGATCAAGTTGAGACGATGGGTTTGCTGACAGCTCTTGGGGCTGTAAAACAACACTGTCGGTTCAGAACAGTATCTGGCAAATTTCGCGCAACCGCGACAGAGATGATGGCGGAACTTGCCACAACTTGTCGCCTGCGGTACCGCGGCTGTCGCGCGTGTGGTCCGCCGGTCAACCGTTCATTGGCCGACAGTTTTTGTGTGAGAATAATGTTGATTGGTAGGTGTGCCCGTATTCAAGGCGAGAGAAAGAAAACAAAAAACATGGGGGCTTCAAAGCCTTCCAAAAAGACGGGAAGAAAAACGCCCGTGGAACGTTTTGTGAGAAACATCGACAAGACTACATGCGTGAAAAAAAGAAAAGAAAAAGAGTGAGAGAGCGAAGGCGGAGGACCCGACACGAGTCCAAGGTGAGGCAAAATTGGGGGCTTCAAAACCTTCCAAAAAGACGGGAAGAAAGAAGCCCGTGTAAGGTTTTGTGAGAGACCTCGACAAGACTACATGCGTGAAAAAAAAAAGAAAAGAGTGAGAGAGCGAAGGCGGAGGACCCGAGACGAGTCCAAAGTGAGGCGGACGTCATTGCTCTCCGCGTGTTTCCAAATGTAGTTACAATTGTAGGAGCGCAAGGTATTCGGGATCAGTCCAACACAGGTTTTCGCTGCAATCGACGAACGGTCCACCCTAAGGTTTAAAAATGAAAAGACACAAGCGCCGGCTGGTTCCACCTATATATAATATATATATATATATATGAATAACAACGAGTTTTGCAGCGCGTCGTTTTCATCCTAGACCAGGATTTATGTGAGAAAAAAAATTACTCTGTCGGGACTTAATCCCATGATCAGGCCTTTAGCAGGCTGCGAGGTTACCCACTAGACCACCGGAGTGACCGTTTGTGCCAAGTTCGCGATACCTATGCGGAAATGTAGTAAAATATTTTGTTCTAAGAAACAACGCACACCCCTCCCTGTGCCAAGACCCAGATATGTGCGGTGCTGTTTAAATCCAAAGCGGCTGGTACGGCGACTTTCGAACGCACACCCCTGTGCCAAGATCCCGATATGTGCGATCCTAACATTGAAAACCACAGGGGATAGCAGCACTTCGCGTGTATGGTATTGCTGCAACACGATCACAACACGACCAACAGACAAGCTAGTAGCTGCACACAAAAACGAGTCTCGGGGAATTGCCACCACAACAGTTCCGTGGCGGATCAATACCGGCGGAAAATCGGGAAAATGCCCGGGACGGAGCTGCGGGCCCGACCACACGCAACGCGCGGCCACGATGTTGGAGGGTGCAAGCGCGGGACCTGCCGATGCCTCACAGACTTCACAGGTCTCACAGGCTAGTGCTGGAGGTCCTTCCTCTGCGGGTCAGGGAGCTGCCGCTGCGGACCCGAAGGCAACCGGCGAGGCTATCGATGAGATGCTAGCCGCCAACGACCCCGTCAAAAACAGCAACGGCAAACGCGCGTACCCGGAGCCCAACTTCCCGATCGAGCGGTCAGGAGCAGTGGGAGGGAAAGGGAGCTACCCCATCCGGTTCAACCTGAACGCGGCGGCCTACACACGGGAGATCTGCCCGTGCGACGGTCAACCGGTGGGAAACAACGGCACGACGAAAGTTCTCCAGGTGCCTCGGAAGCGTATCATCGAGTGGCTGAAGCAGGAGGAGCAGCTCAGGGACAGGGTCAGCGCCAATCCCAAGCTTTCGAAGGCCAAGCAGGTTCACAGCGGACGGAAAGCTTCGACAGTCGACGCCGAACAAGCCCTTGAGGACTACATCAACGAGCAGCGCAAGCAGCACCGCGGTTGTGGTAATCGGGAGGTGATGAACAAGCTGCTCGAGCTGAAGCCTGACGCCCCTTGGCGGGATGCCGGCGAACGCGAAACCGGAGGAGGCGCTGGCTTTCAAGGTCAAATTCAACTCCTGGTACCAACGGTTCCGCAAGCGGAATGGGTTCAGCATCCGCCGGCGTACCAGCGTGGGCCAGAAACTGCCGAAGGGGTACGAGGGTATGGCGTGGGCGACGGCGATGAAGCTACGCGAGGCTCTCGTAAAGCGCGCCGGTGAGATCTACGCTCGGCACCACCCGCCGGCACCTGGCGAGAGCCCCATCAAAGGGGAGGATCTGACTTCCGAGCAGCTGGCGTCTGTGGAGGCGGAGGTTTCTCGAGGAACTCGGCAACATGGACCAGACGCCAGTCCAGCACGAGATGCCGGTGGAGACCACTCTTGAGAAGACCGGTGCGAAGGATGCTCGCATCAGCACAGGAGGTGAGGGCGAGCTAATATTTTTGTCAAAATTTTGTGTGGTGTGCGGATTTTTGTCGTTGGGCAATTTTTTATGACACATGTTTTTTGCGTGCCGGTACACGGTGCGATGTAGCTCTATCGGTAGACACAGGAGGGTTGCTACCTTTTTCTGCGGGATTATTCTACACTTCCTTTTTCATTGCATCCAAACTATCAACCAGGATAGTTTTCGAAACGTCCGGTACCGTTTGCATTCATTGTATCAACCACACACCGCTGTCCTCGCAGAAATATTCAACACTCTACTCCCGTCCCCCCTTCCCTCGCGTTGATTTTTTTCCCCCTCACCTCAGGCAAAGAGCAGGAACGCTTCGCGCTCGTTCTGGCTGTCATGGCGGACGGCAAAAAGGTTTCGCCGCGCATCACCTTCAAAGGCACGCCGTTCACCCCCCCGACCGTGAGCGGCAAGGGCAAGAGCACCCTGCCGCGGAAGAACTCCGTCGCGTGGGAGATCCATCCTGCGAACCGCGCCAAGCACGGCCACCCTGCCAACGGCGTGTCCTTCGGCGTGCAGGAGAAGAGCTGGAGTGACCAGCGGGAGTGCAACGGGTGGATCTCGGGCAGGTGGAAGCTCCGTCCCAACAACGGCAGCATCGTCCAGCAGCGCCCGTGCATCCTGGTGCTGGACGACTTTAAGCGCCACAAGGACGAGGGTTTCATCGCCGCCCTCAAGAGAGACGCCAACACCATCGTCATCTTCATCCCAGGCGGGTTGACGCCCTTGCTCCAACCGCTCGACTGCATGCTCAACAAGCAGATGAAGCGGCTGCTGCGGGGCAAGTACATCGCCTACAGCGCGTCGGCGGTCGCAGACGCCCGGTCGGGGAAGCTGAAGCCACCGGAGCGTGGGGTCGTCTCTACGTGGTGCAAGGAAGCGTGGGAGTCCATCACCCCCGAGACGGTCAAGACTTGCTTCAAGATCTGCGGTCTCACGCTCGCGCTCGACGGCAGCGAAGACCACGCCTGGTGCGAGCACAACGTCGGGGAAGACTACCGCGACCTTTTCGAGGAGCAGCACGCTGTGTGGAGCATCCCGACGTGACTCGCCCGCCGCTCAAGCTGCCGAAGGTACCAGGGCGGTTCGACTCCAAACCCATCACGGCTGCTCGGAAGGAGGTCGAGGGGAAGCTGCTGCCTTACGTCGCTGATGAGAGCGACAGCGAGGTGGAGGTCTTGGAGGGCGACAGCGACGTGGAAGTCGTGGAGGGGCAGGGGGGCGGGGGCGCCGAAGGAGAAGTAGTCGAACTTTGAATCATTGTTCTTTGGGATTGCCAGTGAGATTGGATGTAACAAGTTTTTGCGATGGTAGGGGTGCGGGCACGAAGTAGAGTTCAACCCGCCTAGGAAGTACAGTAGTAGGACGTTGGTAGCTCGTAGTGGTAGTTTGGTGTGATTTTTTACTTCGTTTTTGGTTTCATCTGCATTAGAATTGTTGAGTGAATGCCGTTTGCCGATTTGCCGATCTTGATTCTTCCGAACGAAAAGAAGAGAACAAAGAGTACAAATACCACATTTTTGAACATCGTCATGGTGCCAAGGGCCGCAGTAGCAGTGGAGCACGCGATTCAAGCTCCCACAGCATCAGGAATTTCCAGCACAAGATGCTGGTGAAAGGGTATCACTTACCGCCAAACCTCACCGCACATATCGGCGTCTCCGCACAGTGTGCGGAGACGACGATACCTTTGCTTTTTTTCCGCACACCCTGTGCCAAGACCCCGACATGTGCCGAGACCCCCTTATGTGCGAAGACCCCGATGACTACGGTAGTTAAATTGAATGATTTGAAATTCGAAGATGTGTGGTGTGTTGGGGTATGGTCGTGCCCAACGTATAGTGGTCGTCGATTGGAGCGATGGTCCTTACGATGCCGGTGAGCTCTGGGCGACCCGGTTGTGGTCTGTCAGGGCTGGACGGATGTGGTACTAGATAGGGCGGGGTAAGGGCCGTTGTATCCATCCAAACTTTTGTTAGAAGTACAATTTTTCCGGATTTTCGGAACTTGTACAGAGAGAGGCGTTTGTCCAAATATTTTTTCGAAGTTCGGAACGAACCTGGGCGCCAAAATTTGTACTCAGGAGGGTTCTTAACGATTCTTCGGTTTGTTGGAATATGCCGACTGGCTTTCGGAGAAATCCGAACGGACCGCCTGACGTTTCTTAACGTCAGGCGGTCCATTTTTTGAATTTCTCAGACTTTTCGGTTTGAAAACGTACAGCATTTACACACCACAGCCTTCAGGCAGGCGGCAGCGCCAGCGTACAAACATGCAGAGCGACGAGAACAGCGGACCTACCGGCGGCAGGCCGCCGAGGGGCCATCGCCGACCCGCGAGATACGACAACACAGGCGAAAGTGGTGCTGCCTGTGGTCATGGGTTGGGTCATGGGTTGCAGCAGTCTGCTGCCGCCGTTGATGATGACAACGGCCGCGGCCGCGACCCTCTCCCGAGCCACGCCTCTCGCCGGCTGCGCGTGGCCGCCCCCGCCGCTGCCGTAGAAGCGGAGGGTTCGCGATGCCCCCTTACGATGCTGTCGCAAGCTGCCGGGGTCGCCGGGTTTGCTACCACGACAACCACCGCAGCAGCCATCGCCCGCATCACGGAAAGCGGGTTCATCTCCAGGCTGCGACGCTTTCGCCGCCTTTGCTCCGCGAAATCTGCAGATCCACAGCGCTTTCCGTGACCATCCATGGTCTACAAGCTTACAGGCGACACAAGCAAGCCACCTGGGGACTGTCCCCGAGATCTGGAGTGCGAGAGGGTGCTCAGCGTGCTGGCGACTGCAGTGCAACTCGAGTGCTCCCATTTCGGAGTCATTTCGGAGTTTCTCTTCAGAAAATGCCGAAAATGAAGCGGCGCCCGAAAAATTCCGACGCTTCATTTTCAGCATTTTCCGACAAGAAATCGGCATTTTCCGAAAAAGTAGGGCGCATGTCGGCATATTCCAACAGAACAAATCTCGTTAAGAACCCTCCTCAAGTAGCTTCCAAAATTTCCAAATAAATTGGAGCATCACAACAAACCCAGCAGCTAAAGGACCTACAGGACCAACTACAAGGGAGAAGCAGCAGCGGAGGGTACTTGGATAGCGGCAGGGCCATGGCGGACCGCAGGAAACTCGGTGCGCCTCTTGGGTCGTCGTGTGCTGGCCCACCGAGCCAACGATTCAGGCGTGCATCCGGTGGCCAAGAGGTGGTGCGGCAGTTGAAAGCAGCTGCTACTGCGGTGGTGCTGGTGCTGAGTGCGGCGGCAGTGGTCACCTCTGTAGCTAGCGCTAACAAGACGCGTGCGGCTATCCACGAGCCACGGCGTCTGGTCTGGGAGGATCACGCTGCTGACCTCAAGAAGCGGAAGGTCTTCCGGAGGATGTATCGCATGGAGGAACCGGTGTTCAACAAAGTGGCTGTGTTGCTGGAACCGATCCTACAACGGAACGACTACTACGCAAGTGAGAATAGAGAACGGCGGGAGGGAGAGATGGGGGGGCGAGGGGGAAGGAAGAGAGAGATTGTGTAATTGACGTACGAGGCGCAGAACTCATGCCGTGGTGTTTGTTTGTTGCTGATGCTGAAGTGTTGCATGCAGAAGACTACTGATGTTTGTGTAGACTAGACTGTTTAAAAGTGTAGACTAGTAGACTACTGCTGTAGGAACAGAGCGAATCATCCCGCAGCACCACCGCCCGCCTTAGCACAACAGCAGGACGGTTTACACCAGCAGGACGGTGACCTCTGGTGTCTGACTAGGGTTAGGGTAACAGTTTCACCGCCCAGCACTTGCTATTTTCGTCTGTCTGCTGATACGTTCACGCTATGCTTATTTTGTGCTTCATGCGAAACAGGCAAACGGTATCAACGCGGTGCTGTTCCCACGAAGATCCGACTAGCAATCGGCTTGCGGATGATGGCCGGTGCTTCGTATATCGATGTCGCCGTGCTGTTCGGCGCGTCCAAGGAGACGGCCTTGGGCATCTTGTGGCAGGTGGTGGATGCCATCAACAGCACAGCAGATATTGGGCCCTTCTTTTTTCCGCAGAGCTCGGATGAGTGCACCCGGCAGGCGGCAGACTGGGAGGTGCGAAAATGATACACTAAATTACATCAGCAGGGTGGATTGCGTGTTTGCATTCGAGGTAGGTGATTATGATGTTGTGAACGAACACATTATCGAGTTTGGTGGCGGCTTAGTTTCAACATTACTTCAAATATAGATTACAGTATGCGAACAGACGTCGTTCGAATATGGCCAAAAACTGGCAACGCGGCGAAAATGGACAGACAGGTGTTGTGCTGTGGTATGCCTAGCGGGTCTGGTGCCGGAAGAGCAGTTCAACTTCACCACTTCCGTAGGCTACAGGCCTCCTAACGTGTATGGTACACAAGCAAGGCACCACTGCTGCAGAATCTGTCCCAAAACAAATGACTCGGATCGCATGGATGCATGCATGTCGATCCTCCGCTCGGCAGAAAAACTTGCTTGTCTAGACACACCGAATAAGGAGCGAGCGGGAAGCACTTGTGACAGCACGTGGAAACCTCTATATCTTGTGTCCACTTATTGGCTTGATGCATGGTGAAATGAGCTCCAGTCTGCAGGGAACATTGGCTCGAACAGTCGCCTTGTCCGAGCAAAGAGTATGTCTGGGGTTTCCGTCGAGCAACCCTCGGTCGCCGAGCTGCTTGTGGAAATGCTTCAAGTAGGCGATGAATACGTCTCCCTGCAAAAACGAAGAATCCGTACAGACAGGTGTACCTCGCACCCTCCGGGCCGTTTCCCTCTACAAACCAATCGGCCTGACGTCGTTGCCCTTTGAAGATAGCGGTTGGTGCCCAGGTGTGACCATCAGCGCTGATGGTAGCGACCACGGTGGTGTTCTCTCGCGAGTTGGAACGGATATTCCGCGACTACATGAACACGGTCTTCGCATTCGAAGCCGCACTCACCTTTGAACTCGTCGTCTTCGTCGTCTACCGTCCTATGTCTTCGTCGACGTTCTCGAA